TGGGAAGTCCACTTGACTACATGCCTAAATGCCTGGCAGACCAGTTCTTTATAGTGCTGGTCCGGCTAGGAGGCTGCTCTTGCCCATGCCGAATCGTGACAGACCCTGGCGCTGACGTCCAAAAAAAGATTGTCTTGAAACGGCCCTCAGAATGGCCTGCGCTTATCCCTGGTCTGGCACCTAAGTTTCAGGCGAGGTCGACTTGATGAGGGCCTAAAAGTGGCCTGCGCTTATCCCTAGTTTGGCACCTAAGTTTCAGGAGAGGTCGACTTGATGAGGTCCTAAGATTTGGCCCTCCTTTTCAGGCTGAAAAGACTCAGGGCATGGAGGGCCCTTTTTTAGGCTGATACATCACAGGGCCTGGAGGGCCCTTACTTTTGCCTCGTCGGGTCCTGCAAGGCCCGTGTGTTGCGTAGCATGCCACACCCCCCCGTCCTAGAAAGACCGAGCTTACTTGCGAGGGCGAGGCTGTCCGTCGGAGCGAGGACCAAAGTCCGGGTGGGAGGGGCGGGATGTGAAGCTTCTGTAGCTAGTCTACGTCGCTCGTAGTCGGCGTAGATCAGCGGTGCAGATGCTTGCTTGCATGCGGGGCGAAGTACACGGGGACGGAGTCAATGCACTGGTCGATTGACTTGTACGTGTGACCCTCAGCCAACGTGACTTGCGTGGGCTGCGACTTCCTCCGAACACGTGGCCCAAGGCCAGCTCGTACCATAAAGTCTTGGTTGATATAGTTGCGAGCAGCTCCGCAATCCATCAAAGAGTTGTAGGGTCGCCCCTCCAATCTGAATGCGTATGTACAACAATGGCGCGTCGCTGTCGTCGTACCGTTGTGTCTTGAACTCGCGATCGATCTTCGCAACATAGTCGTGAAGGTCAACAACCTCTACTCCGGCGTCCTTCAACGGAGCTGGTACTACAGTGTGCAAGTAATCCGCAATTGTGCCTTGAGCACGATGCAATGCCATTTCGGCGATTGAACAGTTGGGGGAAGGGGCATCCATTGGAAGTCCGCGAACGTCAACGGGTCGAGTTCTTCAAGTCCTGACCATGACGTCGAATCCCCGACAATAGTTGGCGGCGAAGCTGCCGAATCGGTTGCCGATGGTGGTGAAACCGTGCATGCGGTGGATTGTTGCACGTGGAGTGGTTGGTCCAACGGTGGGACCAAGTGGACTGCGTAATCCTCGTAAGTGAATCGAGGACTCGTGACATCCGCATTCTCCCCAGATGTGTAGGAGGCCGCTAGCAAGGCCGCCAAATCTGGCGGACTGAGAGGTGGAGTTGCCTCACCTCTCGTGCAACTCAGTTTCCCGAGTTGATTCGAGGTCGAAAATCCTCCTTGCCTTGATGCTGGCATTGGGAGGTCTTGTGCTTGGAGCTGTTGCACCAATAGCAGCAGCCATACCGGCTGTGCCACTTGTATTCGGCCCCGGTCAAGTTAAACTGAACCCATGGTACTAGCTGTCCGTTTCCGGCCGACGATGCAGTTTTCGCCCTCCCTTTTCCACGGGAGTTGTTGTTGCTTCGCGCCTGGAGAACGGCCACCTGATCTCGCTCACGTGATGCTGGGGTGGCTGTCGGGTCTTCCACAATGTTGTCTGGTTGGACTGCAGCGACGGCTGCGGACGTGGACCAAATTTTCCCTTCTCCACATAGGCTGGCTGCCATGCTGATTTCTCGTGTGTAGCAGCCCGGTTGGTCTTGATGATCTCTCACGCCTTGTCGATGATTTCGGCGAAGGTCGTGTACTGCTCACGATCACCGAGTGCGAGGCTCAAGGTGGCACACGACCAGTTGTCGAACTCTCGGCGCAGATGTGGAAATGACAAGTCGATATCGGGTGTTGCCACGATAGTTTGCCATTCCGTGAGCCAATCGCGCGTCGATGTGTCGCATTGAGTCATGGTGAAGAGGCGGTTGATGGCGAGCGTCAGGGCGTCGCCAACAATGAACCGACCGCTTCTTCCATTCTCTCGTTACATCTTCCCAGAAGATCTTTCTTGTGTAAGTTGTTGACCTGGACGTCATGGATGGTTGCCATGTGCCTGAGCCAGATCTGGCATCCACCCTTGACGTTTAGGAATAGCGCCGCAATGTACAATTGTTCTAGGACCTCATGAAT